CAAAGACCCAACAACTGCCTCCAAGACGCCCCCAAAAGCCTCACACGAGACCCATCAGCCATCCGAGTGGCCTCAGACCCACACCCCAAGCACGGTGGCGGGATGGGCCGAAGGCCATTCGATCCGCCGCCCCCTTTTGATCTATCAAAGGGGTGCCTGGCGTGCTGGATGATATGGCTTTTGGCTTTGGTTATTTTTCCAAAAGAACTCCCCCTGGGGCTTCGGCCCGTCCCGCCGGCCACCCCGAAGAGGTGGTTGCAAACGGTTTTCCTGCCCCAGACGGCCCCAAGATGGCCTCCAAGACGGCCAAGATGCCTCCAAGACGGCCAAGATGGCCTCCAAGACGGCTCAGATGGCCCCAAGATGCCTCCAAGACGGCCCAAGATGTACCCTAGACGGCCTAAGATAGCCTGAAGATGGCCCAAGACGGCCCAAGAGGCCCCCAAGAGGCCTCCAAGACGGCACAAGAGGCCTCCAAGAGGTCCTCCAGGAAGGCTCGAAGAGGCCAAAATCATTGATGTTCCGTAGGTTTTTGAATGATTTTTGCATTTGCGCCTTTTCGGCTTTCCAACGGCCCCAGAGGCTCCCAAGATCGCCCAAGAGGCCTCCAAGATGGCCCCATGACGGCCCAAGGGACCCCCAAGACGGCCCCAAGAGGGCCCCAAGAAAGCCCAAGAGGCCTCCAGGACGCCCAACATGGGATCCAAGACGGCCCAAGATGGCCTCCAAGATGCCTCCAAGATGGCCAAGATGGCCTCCAAGACGGCTAAGATGGCCCCAAGTTCGCCCCAAGATCGCCCAAGAGGCCTCGAAGATGGCACCGTGACGGCCGAAGGGACCCCCAAGACGGCCCCAAGAGGACTCCAAGACGGCCCAAGAGGCCTCCAGGACGCCCAAGATGGGTTCCAAGATGGCCCAGGATGGCCTCCAAGATGCCTCCAAGACAGCCAAGATGGCCTCCAAGACGGCTAAGATGGCCCCAAGAAGCATCCAAGACGGCCCAAGATGGCCTCAATCTGGTCTAAGACGGCCCAAAAGGCCCGCAAGAGGCCTCCAAGACGGCCCAAGAGGCCTCCAAGAGGTTCTCCAGGAAGGCCCGACGAGGCCAACATCATTGATTTGTCTTGGGTTTTTGACGGATTTTTGCATTTGCGCCTTTTCGGCTTTCCGACGGCCCAAGACGGCCCAAGAGGCTCCCAAGATCGCCCAAGAGGCCTCCAAGATGGCCCCATGACGGCCCCAGACGCCCACAAGACCGCCCCAAGAGGGCCCGAAGACGGCCCAAGGGGCCTCCAAGACGCCCAAGATGGCCTCCAAGACGGCCCTGGAGCATTCCAAGAGGGCCCCGAGTCGGCCCAGAGAGGCCCCCCAAACGGCTTCCAACGGCGTCGGACGGGCCAGGAGCCCACCAAGGCGGCCGAAGATGGCCTTAAGATGGCCCAAGAGGCCTCCAAGAGGGCCTCCAGGAAGGCCCGAACAGTCCAACATCATTGATTTCCCATGAGTTTTTGAAGGATTGTGGCATTTGCTCTTTGTTCGGCCTTCCGACGGCCCGAGACGGCCCAAGTGCCCCCAAAGATCGCCCAAGAGGCCCCCCAAGACGGCCCCAAGAGGCCCCCAAGACGGCCCAAGAGGCTTCCAAGACGCTCAAGATGGCCTCCAAGACGGCCCAAGAGCCCTCCAAAACGTCCCCCGAGAAGGCCCGAAAGGGTCAAAATGGCCTCCAGACGGCTCAGATGACCTTCAAGATGCCCACGCGTTCCCCGAAGGCTTTCCAAACCGATTCGGGGAACACATGGTCCGATAGCTTGGCAGGTCTGGTTTCAACGTTCGGCCACATAGGCGCTTCCAAAAAGGCAGGGGGCGGCGGTGATTCGCCGTAGGCGTCTTCGATCCGCCCCCCCCGGTTGATTCATCACAGGGGTGCCCGGCGTGCTGAATCCTTTCGCTTTTGGTTTTGGTTCTTTTCCCGAAAAGAACTCCCCCTGGGGCTTCGGCCAATCCCGCCAGGGTCCTGGAAAGGCCCCGAAACCACCTCAACGACCGGAAACAAATCTCCAAGACGGCTCAAGATGGCCTCTAAGATGGTCACGTTGGCCCAAGATGGCCTCCAAGATGGCCTCCAAATCGCCGAAGATGGTCCAAAATGGCTTCCAAGACGGCCCGAGAGAAACCAAGATGCCTTCAAGTTCGTCCAAGACGCCTCCAAGACGGCCCAAGATGGCTCCAAGATGGCCTAAGACTGGCCAAGAGGCCCCCAAGAGGCCTCCAAGACGTCCTCAGGAAGGCCCGAAAGGGCAAACATCATTGATTGTCCTTGGATGTTTTGAAGGATTTTGTTCTTCATATCAGCTCTCCGACGGCCCAAGACGGCCCAAGAGGCCCCCAACATCGTCCCAAGAGCGCCCAAGAGGCCTCCAAGTTGGCCCCATGACAGCCCAAGAGGCCCCCAAGAGGGCCCCAAGAAGAGCCCACGACGGCCGAAGATGGCCCCGAAGATGGCCTCCAAGACGGCCAAGATGGCCTCCAAGATGCCTCCAAGACGGCCAAGAAGGCCTCCAAGACAATGAAGATGGCCCCATGATGCACCCAAAACGGCCCCAAATGGCCTCAAAGTTGCCTTAGACTGCCCAAGTGGCCCGCAAGAGGCCTCCAAGACGGCCCAGGAGTCCTCCAAGACGTCCTCCAGGAAAGCCCGAAGGGTCAAAATGGCCTCCAGCCGGCCAAGATGACCTTCAATATGCCTCCAAGACGGCCGAGATGGCCTCCAAGACGGCGAAGATGGTCCCAAGATTGCCTAAGACGGCCCAGATGGCCCGCAAGAGGCCTCCAAGACGGCCCAGGAGTCCTCCAAGACGTCCTCCAGCAAGTTCCCCGAAAGCTTTCCAAACCGATTCGGGGAACACTCGTTCCGAAAGATTGGCAAGGATCTGACCCAACCTTCGGCCAGCAGACCCCAAAACGCCTCCAAAAGCTCACAAGAGCCTCAAAGGGGCCCCGAACACGCCCTTCCCCACGTGTTCCCCGAAGGCTTTCCAAACCGACTCGGGGAACACATGGTCCGATAGCTTGGCAGGGCTCTGGCCTCAACGCTCGGCCACATAGGCACTTCCGAAAGGGCAGGGGGCTGCGGTGACTCGCCGTAGGCGTCTTCGATAAGCATTCCTCTGGTGTTTTGACAACCCATTTCCCCTTGCGTGTCCAGCGCAGCGAACACCGAGAATGTCAGCCGCGGAAAATACAATGACCCCAAGAAGCATGCCTCAAGACTCTGACACTGCCCCTCCCCTAATCCCCCGGGGGCTTCCTGAGCGCTCCTGGAGTGCCCTGAGACAGCCCAGGAAAGCCCGAATCGCCGAAAACTCGCTCCAAGACGCTCTCGATGGCGTCCAGACGACCCCGGACAGCTCCTAGACGGCCCCAAATGCCTCCCAGAGCACTCCCACGAGGGCCCCAAGAGGCAAACATCGTCACATTCCAATCGGAAGACGTATAAGTTTGCATCTGTGCCTCTGTCGCTGTCATAGCATCCAAGACAGCCCAAGAGGCCTCCAAGATAGGTCCAAGACGCCCAAGGCTTCTTAGGGCTCTGTGGAACCCTCCTTGGGTCGTGTTGGTGCTCTCATGGGCCGCCTTCAGGACCTCTTGGGCAAATTTGCGACCCACTTGGGCCCTCCTCCTCGCTGTGCCGGAATCAGAGAAGCCTGACTCTCCCGCGGTTTACACAGAAGCTGTGGTAAGCGGGCCCGCTGACGAAAAAACAAAGGGTCTGATCTTTCTGTGCTGCTGTACGCCGACGACACGCTGCTCATCGAGAGAAGGCAGACCAGCTTACAGCATCTCTTAGACAACGTCGCCTTGGCTGGGGCACAACTTGGAATGGAAGTACATTGGGACAGTGTCCAGATGACCAAGATAAACAGCGATGTGACGTTGAGGACTAAGGCCAGGCAGAGCATTGCAGAAAAGCATAATATGACATATTTGGATACTAGTTTCTATAATGGTGGGCAGTTGGGCACCGAACTAAACAAACTAATCGGGGCAGCATGGGCCGAATTTAGCTAGCGTCGAACACAAGATCTATTTCAAGCGTTGGTGACATCCAAAACCTTATATTATTTAAATACGGCGTGGTTAAATAAAGCTGAGAGGAGAAGGTGGGATGGATTTCAAGCCAAATGCCTAAGAAGAAAGTTGCATGTACATCCAGTCTTTGTTGCACGATTGTTTATCAGCAAAGTGTTGGAGCAAGCTGGACACATGCAATACAGCGCGCAACTTCTTCAACAGTAGATGGTACTATTTGGGAATATGTGTCGGGCTTCGGATACGAACTTTCTTCGACGACTTACTTTTCAGCCCGGCACCGTTTGTTCAGCCGTGGATGCTCATCAAAGGGGGAAAAATACACCCAAACACGAATGGGCGACGCAAGGTGGTGCTTGATAATCTGGGCCTGGAACAGTTGCGAGTGGCGAGCGATTGCGTAGCACATTCCATGCAAGGATGATGAAGGTGACCACTTGTAGCACTTCTTTACACACGTTGCATGTGATGCCCGGTGCCTTGGTATTCTATTTCTTTTTCGGCGTTCGCCCACGTTCTTCTGCGTATGGCTAAGCGTCGCGCAGCGTCGGCGCTCTCGCCTTTTGGGCTTACCGATGCTCCAAAACGGTCCACGAGGCCCCAAGATCGCCCCAACACGGCCCCAAAGGCCCCTAAGAGGGCCCCAAGAGGGGGCCCAGATGGGGAACCCGGACGGACATTACGAGCCCTCGGCCTCGAGAGGCCTCCAGGAGGCCCCAAGAGGCTCCCAAGAGGCCCCCAAAAGGCCCCCAAGAGGCCCCAAGAGGCCGCCAAGAGGCCCCCAAGAGGCCCCCAGGAGGCTCTCCAACTGCTCCGAAGAGGCCCCCGAGGGCGCTTCGACGAGACCCGAAGACACATCTCTGAGAACTCTGCCCCACAACCCAGGCACTGTGGCGGGATGGACCGAAGACCATTCGATACAAGGCGTGTAAGTCTTCCAGCCTGTCCTCCGAGACTGACAGATCGCCACGGCCCTCGGCCACCTGCCACTTGGTGCCGTCCGCGTCCTCGAAGAGGCTCTCGTCCTCCTCCCCGTCCACGTCCAGGCCAAACTTGCGCTTATACAAACCCTTCAGGTCCTCCAGCCTGTCCTCCAGGCCAACTAGCAAACCACGGCCCTCGGTCACCTGCCACTTAGTGCCGTCTGCGTCCTCGAAGAGGCTCTCGTCCTCCTCTTCGTCCACGTCCAGGCCAAACTTGCGCTTGTACAGGCCCTTCAGGTCCTCCAGCCTGTGCTCCAGGCCCGTCAGCACGCCGCGGCCCTCGGTCACCTGCCACTTGGTGCCGTCCGCATCCTCGAAGAGGCTGTCGTCCTCCTCCTTGTCCACGTCCAGGCCAAACTTGCGCTTGTACAAGCCCTTCAGGTCCTCCAGACTGTGCTCCAGGCCGGTGAGCAAGCCGCGGCCCTCTGTCACCTGCCATTTGGTGCCGTCCGCGTCCTCGCAGAGGCTATCGTTCTCGTCCTCCTCCCCGTCCACGTCCAGGCCAAACTTGCGCTTATACAGACCCTTCAGGTCCTCCAGCCTGTCCTCCAGGCCAACTAGCAAACCACGGCCCTCGGTCACCTGCCACGTGGTGCCGTCTGCGTCCTCGAAGAGGCTCTCGTCCTCCTCCTCGTCCACGTCCAGGCCAAACTTGCGCTTGTACAGGCCCTTCAGGTCCTCCAGCCTGTACTCCAAGCCCGTCAACACGCCGCGGCCCTCGGTAACCTGCCAGTTAATGCCCTCCGCGTCGTCCTCCTCCTCGTCCACGTCCAGACCAAACTTGCGCTTGTACATGCCCTTCAGGTCCTCCAGCCTGCTCTCCAGGCCGGTGAGCAAGCCGCGCCCTCGGTCACCTGCCACTTGGTGCCGTCCGCGTCCTCGACGAGGCTCTCGTCCTCCTCCTCGTCCACATCCAGCCCAAATTTGCGCTTATACAGGCCCTTCAGGTCCTCCAGCCTGTGTTCCAGGCCCGTCAGCACGCCGCGGCCCTCGGTCACCTGCCACTTGGTGCCGTCCGCGTCCTCGAAAAGGCTCTCGTCTTCCTCCTCGTCCACGTCCAGGCTGTATTTATGCTTGTACAGGGCCTTGATGTCTTGCAGCCTCACTTCAAGGGCTGCGAGCGGACCACAACCCTCGGTCACCTGCCACCTAGTGCCGTCCGCGTCCTCGATGAGGCTGTCGTCCTCCTCCTCGTCCACGTCCAGGCCAAACTTGCGCTTGTACAGGCCCTTCAGGTCGTCCAGACTGTGCTCCAGGCTGGTGAGCAAGCCGCGGCCCTCTGTCACCTGCCACGTGGTGCCGTCCGCGTCCTCGAAGAGGCTCTCGTCCACCTCCTCGTCCACGTCCGGGCCAAACTTGCGCTTGTACAGGCCCTTCAGGTCCTCCAGCCTGTGCTCCAGGCCCGTCAGCACGCCGCGGCCCTCGGTCACCAACCACGTGGTGCCGTCCGCGTCCTCGAAGAGGCTGTCGTCCTCCTCCTCCTCGTCCACGTCCGGGCCAAACTTGCGCTTGTACAGGCCCTTCAGGTCCTCCAGCCTGTCCTCCAAGCCCGTCAGCACGCCGCGACCCTTGGTCATCAACCACGTGGTGCCGTCCGCGTCCTCGAAGGGGCTCTGGTCCTCCTCCTCGTCCACGTCCAAGCCAAACTTGCGTTTGTACAGGCCCTTTAGGTCCTCCAGCCTGTCCTCCAGGCCAACCAGCAAGCCACGGCCCTCGGTCACCTGCCACTTAGTGCCGTCTGCGTCCTCGAAGAGTCTCTCGCCCTCCACTTCTTCATCTACGTTGATGCCGAACTTCTTCTGGAAGAGGGCCGTGACGTCGTCGAATTCCTCCTCCAAGCGCTTGGCGAACGGGCAACCAACCCCAGCAACTGTCCACTTCGCGCCGTCCGCGTCGGAGACGCGCACATCCTGCAGGCGCCACTCGGGGAGCTCGGCCAAACCCTCTTGCGACCACCTCTGAGAGCCAATGAACGGCGAAGCGAAAGGCGTGAAACCGTCGTCCTCAGACAAGAGCCGGTGGAAGTCGGTGGACGCCGTGAACTCCGTGGAGGCCGTGGACACCGCACGCTGGAACAGCAGTGAGTCCTCCGCCGCGTGGAAGGGGTCTGGCAGCGCAGCGAGGCTCTCAAGGCACTTGGCGACGGTTCCGTGCTTGGGCTGCTTGAGGGGACCCTGGCTGGGAGTCCCATGGCCGCTGCTGCAGATGCTCGTGCAGCCAGCGGCGGGCTTCAGCGCAGGGGACGCACCTGCGTTCGCAAAGAACGCAGAAGCATCCCCCGCAGGCTGAAACGTGCTCATCGTGCCTACTGGAAGCGGTTCTGGTAGACTCCTGCTCGGGTGAAGACGCGAGCGCGTCGTGTCAGTGGTTCGCTATGGGATGCTCGGACCAAATCTTGAGCCAAAATGCTAGGGAACGACGAGGGGAAAGACGAGGGATGGGGGCGACGAAGGAGGAGGGACTGGGGGAGGAGGGCTGCGGTGTTAACCCTGGCCCTCGGGGGGGGAGGGGGAGAGGGATAGGGCAAGCTAGGTGCGCTCGCGTCATATCTGACATCCTACCCTTCCCTCCCATCCCTTACCATGGCGCAGATCCCCTCTCTACTCGCACAGTCGGATGTCGAGCAGGGCAGTGATCCCGAAAGGGTACGCGATGCAACGTATAGCACGGCCTGGCATGGCGGAGAAGAGCACCGCAAAGCGTAGTATCAACCTAGCATTGCATTGCATGCCGTGGCATGGCACGGGACATGACGCCAGCGCTGCAGCGGGAGCACGAGTCGAAACGAGGGGAAGCGCGGAAATGAGGCCAGCGCTGCAGCGGGAGCACGATTCGGAACGAGCGGAAACACGGAAATGAGGCCAGCGCTGCAGCGGGAGCACGATTCGGAACGAACGGGGGAATGAGGCCCGCGCCTCAGCGAGAGCAGCATTTTGAAAATTAGCCTGGCGAAGGACCCAACCATGTGCAGTTGTGAATACCGCAATTGTGAATACCATCTTTGCCCGCGCTCTCTATGTGGCCACAGCTTCCCGTCGGAACCCGACATGCTCAGGAACACGTTCGTGGCCGTCTTCGCGGGCGCCGACGACGACACGGACGGCGTCCCTCTGACCGAGGAGCAAAAGCAGAAGAGGGCTTTGAGAGCCATGAGGGAGGAGGTGGCGTTGCACGTCGACACGGCGGAGTACGACGCCCAGGCGCGGTTGTTGAAGCAACACATCTATGGGGCCACGATCCTCGTGAGGGGTGTGCCGCAATGGCCCGGGGCCGCCATGCGAACCCTGCCACTGGCGCCTTCGCTGGAGCTCCTATGGGGCCACGATCCTCGTGAGGGGTGTGCCGAAATGCCCCGAGGCCGCCATGCGAACCTTGCCACTGGCGCCTTCGCTGGAGCTCCTGTGGTGCCACGATCCTCGTGAGGGGTGTGCCGAAATGGCCCGAGGCCCCCATGCGAACCCTGCAACTGGGGCCTGCGGTGGAGCTCCCTATGGGGCCACGATCCTCGTGAGGGGTGTGCCGACATGGCCAGAGGCCGCCGTGCGAACCCTGCTACTGGCGCCGTCGGTTGAGCTCCCTATGGGGCCACGATCCTCGTGAGGGGTGTGCCGAAATGCCCCGAGGCCGCCATGCGAACACTGCCACTGGGGGGTCTTCGGTCGAGCTCCCTATAGGGCCACGATCCTCGTGAGAAGTGTGCCGAAATGGCCTGAGGCCGCCATGCGAACCCTGTCACTGGGGCCTTCGGTGGAGCTCCCTATGGGGCCACGATCCTCGTGAGGGGTGTGCCGTCATGGCCCGAGGCCGCCATGCGAACCCTGCCACTGGCGGCTTCGGTGTAGCTCCCTATGGAGCCACGATCCTCGTGAAAGGTGTGCCGACATGGCCCGAGGCCGCCGTGCGAACCCGGCCGCTACGATCCTCGTGAGGTGTGTGCCGACATGGCCCGAGGCCGCCATGCGAACCCTGCCACTGGCGCCTTCGGTGTAGCTCCCTATGGGGCCACGATCCTCGTGAGGGGTGTGCCGAAATGCCCCGAGGCCGCCATGCGAACACTGCCACTGGGGGGTCTTCGGTCGAGCTCCCTATGGGGCCACGATCCTCGTGAGGGGTGTGCCGAAATGGCCAGAGGCCGCCGTGCGAACCCTGCCACTGGCGCCGTCGGTGGAGCTCCCTATAGGGCCACGACCCTCGTGAGCCGAAATGGCCCGAGGCCGCCGTGCAAACCCTGCCACTGGCGCCTTCGGTGTAGCTCCCTATGGGGCCACGGTCCTCGTGAGGGGTGTGCCGAAATGCCCCGAGGCCGCCATGCGAACACTGCCACTGGGGGTCTTCGGTGGAGCTCCCTCTAGGGCCACGATCCTCGTGAGAGGTGTGCCGAAATGGCCCGAGGCCGCCATGCGAACCCTGTCACTGGGGCCTTCGCTGGAGCTCCCTATGGGGCCACGATCCTCGTGATGGGGTGTGCCGACATGGCCCGAGGCCGCCACGCGAACCCTGCCACTGGCGGCTTCGGTGTAGCTCCCTATGGGGCCACGATCCTCGTGAGGGGTGTGCCGACATGGCCCGAGGCCACCGTGCGAACCCTGCCGCTACGATCCTCGTGAGGGGTGTGCCGACATGGCCCGAGGCCGCCATGCGAACCCTGCCACTGGCGCCTTCGGTGGAGCTCCCTATGGGGCCACGATCCTCGTGAGGGGTGTGCCGAAATGCCCCGAGGCCGCCATGCGAACGCTGCCACTGGGGCCTTCGGTGGAGCTCCCTATGGGGCCACGATCCTCGTGAGGGGTGTGCCGAAATGGCCCGCCATGTGGGGGGGGAGGGGGAGGAGAGGGGGAGGGAGGAGGAGGAGGAGGAGGAGGAGGAGGAGAGGAGGAGGAGGAACGCGGGGCGACGTTTTTTTTCTCTCTCAAAACGAGGACCCAACACCACAGGATGGTTGGGAAAACATGCAAGCGAAAACCCATATCTGGGGAAACCTATGTGTAAACAAACAATACGCGGGGGGGGGGGGTCGGACACTTTCAAACCGTCATCAAGGGAAGAGGGAGAGTCGTATTCATATTGAATAATTGTACAGAGAAGGGGGGAGCGGAAGGGGGGGAGGGAGGGAGGAGGGAGGAGAAAGATGATAGCAGCACCCAGTGAGCGCACCCCTGTCGCGTCAGGGGTCCTGGCCGACATCGGTTACATATCTGAGATCCCAAGTTGCAAAACAAATCAAGGAGACGTGGACAACATCACTGCTGAAACATGCTGCAACCCATGTACCCAGAACAAGACAAGACCGATCCAAGGACTCACTTCCGCGCAGATCAAGCTTAGTGAACGAAGCGCCTCGCAAACATCTACATTAGCACCTTGAACCTGCATCATTGGCAGAGTCAGGAACAACATACGCCGACTACGCATTGATCATGTAGAACATTTAATCATGGCCCTGGTTGGGCCGAACAATCAACTACCCACACAAGGTGCGCTCGCGACTCTTCACAAGACGTGAAGGCGTTGGAAAACCCAACGAGACGTCAATGATGTTTGCCGCCGTTTTGCCATTCCGCTTCTGACGAGCTTTTGAAGCCTCGAGATGGCTCACGCATAACCTAAGAGAGTCCCAATCAGGGCCCATGAAGGCTCAACTGTAGCCCCAAGAGCGCCCAAGAGTGCTCAAAGAGCACTCCAAGATGTGATTTTGAGGACTCCGACAAGGGGTCTGTAGTTGACGCCGCCCCCTTCATGGATCGAATGCCTCTAAGATGGCTCCAAGAGGGTCCCACGCGAGCCCCGAAGGCACCCACAAACGTCTCACATACCCACAAACGTCTCACATTCTCCATGAGCGGATAGTCCGCGGAGGCTGTTATGGTTGACTCATGCCCCTTCGCGGGCGTTGCTTGTGAACATGCGCGTTGCGGCCGTTCCCAAGATCGACTCGGAGAGGCGAGGAGCTAGCACCGATATCAGACCAGATCAACAAGCATCTCCCCCTCCTCCGTCCTCATCCTCCTGCTCCTCCTCCTCCTCCGCCTCCTCCTTCTCTCCCCAAAACGCTTCCGCAAGACAACTGGCGACGACTTAACCTCTGGATGCAAACCTACCGTAGGAATTCTTGAGACACGTCTACCACAAGACGTCTGAAGACAGACCTACCACAATACGTCTGGAAATACCTATTCTACAACATGTCAATTTATACATACACCACACAAGTACGGAAAACATACATATACCACATGACGTCTGGAGGCAATCATACCGCAGGCCGCCTGGATGCACATACGCAAGGGGATGCCAACACATATATGTTAGCCAGCGTTGACCCGTAAAGAGTGTGGTGCTAGTAATATATGTCGTGCTGTTTATGTTGTGCAATATATGCGGTGCTATTGATGTTGCGCAAGGTACAGGTGTATATGTATACATATATGGTGCAAGTTATGTGGTGTAGTATAGGTTGTGCAGCTTTTTTCGTGCCATCTATGTTGTACAGAATATATTAACCTATGTTGTGAGCGATCAAAAAACGCAAGCCCAGGAGGACCCCAAGAGACTGGCAAGACGGCCCCAAAGAGCCCCAAGACAGCCCGATACGGACCCAGAGACCTCCAAGACGGTCGTCAAGCGCCTAAAGAGGGACCTGCGACTGCCCAGGGAGGGCCCAAGACGGCCTCTGAAGGCCAAGAGGCTCCTTCGACGTGCCAAGAAGGCTCCAAGGGGACCTCCAGGAGGCCAAAATCCTTGATTCCCCAAGCAGCTTGCTGAACGGGGTGCCGCTCTTGTGATAAAAACTCACCCCGATTGGAAGACGCGCGAGCAGAGACATCCTCAAACTGTGGTGGTTCGGGCCGTTCGCCTGAGACATCCTCACAACTCTCGTTTCTGAATTGGCCAGGGTTGGGTGTTTCGCCTGGGACGTCCTTTCACTTCTGAGCTCCGAGACGCCGCGCGAGAAGTGGTCTGGCGCGTTTCCTCTGAGACATCCTGACAACTCTGGGCTCAAACTTGCCGCGAGAGAGGTGGTCCCGCACGCTTCACATCTTCGCGAATGTGGGCTCCCCGAATATCGCGTGCGAAGTGGTCCAGCCCGTTTCCCATGAGACACCCTCGAAACTCTGGGCTCCAAGACGCCGCGCGAAAGTTGGTCCGGCGCGTTTCGCCTGAGACATCCTCACAACTCTGGGCTCAAGAGGTGGTCCAGCGCGTTTCGCCAGAGACATCCTCACGAATCTAGGCTCCGAGATGCCAAGCACGAAATGGTCTGGCGCGTTTCACCTGAGACATCGCCGCAACTCTGGCTCCAAGGCGCCCTGCGAGAGATGGTCTGGCGCGTTTCACCGCAGACACTCTTGCAACTCAAGGCATTGAAAAAATGTAAGCGAGATGGTCCGGCGCGTTTTGCCCGAGACATCCCCGCAACTCTGGGCTCCATAATGCCGCGCGTGA